CCAGCTCCAGGTTGAGCTGTTGTTCAGCATCTTAGCTGTGGAGGGCAGTGTCACTGGCCCTCATATGTGGGATCCGAACCGGGGCCCTCTGACGTCCCAAGCCAGCTCTTAACCATCGCACCACTCAGCCGGCCCTGAACTATACACTTTAAATGTGTGGATTATATGGTATATAAATTATACCTCAATAAAACGCTGACCAAAAAATACCAATAAACTTTTAAAAAGATATTAGAGGATACTGTGGGGAAGCAAGGGTCAGTCTGTTCAATATCCATTTATACATAAGTGCTTAGGCCAGTGAAATTATCAGCAAAGATTGTCAAGGGATGGGAGCATTGTTTTTCTTTTTAAATCTTGCCAGCTTCCCCAAGCCCAGTCCAGATCAAAGGGCAGCACTTTGCCTATGAATGAGCAATTGGCTCAGTCTTTGCTGGAAAATATCTATGTTCCATACTGACTTTTAAATGATAGTTGAGCAGTGCATAGAATTAGAGGTGCGCAGTTTTGCTCCTCAGGTGCTGTATATATACTCCATTGTCATCTTTCCTGTATCTCTTCTCCCTCCACCATATCTGCCATTAAGATCCCCTTCTTTTTTAGCCCGTAGGGGTTTCCCTTTCTTTATTTCACGCTCAGCTGTGAGTTCCTCCCCACCCATCCCCCACACACACTTTATCCAATGAGTTTATAATGGGAAAAGCCACTCCAAAGTATCTCTATCAAGTTGTTTAAACTGGAAATGTCTCGTGCCTTGTAATGTATCACTCACCCATATGTTAGAACTAGCATCATTTTGGGGGGACAGAAGGGGACATTGGAATGCGAGAGTATGAAGTATCTAAATGATTGATCTTCTTCCTTCCTTACCCACTTCCCCCATTTCCTAAGAGAGAAGTGAGAAAGAAGAAAAAACAAGTGCCGAGAAGGAAGAGCCAGCTCTTGGTGTAGCTACAAAAATCCCTTCCACTTTCCGAGTCTATACCCTTCCACATATGCCTGGGCCCAAGATGTATTTTTTTTCTCAATGAGAAGATGCCCTGGGAGTATCTTAGCTTCCTTCTCAGCCCAGAGCTCAGAAGACAGGCTGCTCCACTTTGGGGCTGCAACTAACACCTGGGCAGAACCTCCTGAGCTCAGTAGCAATCCACAATGATTGATTCATTTCTTTGAATATTAAAGACTTTCCCCAAAGACCCCTAGGAGGATTCACATTTGGATCTAAGATGGGGAAGGGGGAAAGCAGGGCCATTTTTGCTCAGGCCTCAGACTTCATGAACTTCAAATGTTGGTTGCTGTTGAGTGGCAAATGTGTTAGGGGAGGGTACATTTTACAGTGGCTATCTGACTCTGAATAATGAAGCCACATGTATATAGTAGAGTGGTTGCATGGGTGGAAGGGAGCTCTGGGGTCACACTGCTCGTGTCAAATCTCAGCTCTGCTACTTTCTAGCTCTGTAGCCTTGGGCCACTTACTTAACCTCTCTGTACCACAGATTTTCAGTCTATAAAATAGGGTTAATAAGAGCACCCACCTCTTACTGTTGTTTTGAAGATTACATAGGGTAATCCAGATAAGGCAGTTTGTCCAGAGCTTGGGCCCCTGGTAAATGTTCCACAGATGCTAATATTAAACTGTGTCTTTGGCCAGTCTTCAGCCAATGATTTACTTTTAGGTCCTACCCCACAGTTTAAACAGAATCCCTGCAGAGCGTGGATGCTGAATACCGGTATATCCCAACTAGCCTTATCCCACCCCCTTCCCAACCTCCTCAGAGCTGAACTTAGGTTTACGTATAATAACAAAATATTACAAATGTACATCTTCTACGTGATTTTTCTAAACACTTTTACAACCTTTATCTCATGAAACTGTGAGGTTAGCAGAATGGTGATGATTATTCCCATTTTGGAGAAGAGGAAACTGAAGGACGCCCTGAAAGGTAAAATGACCTGTTTAGAACTACACAGCTCGTTAGAGGGAAAGATAAAGGCACTCAAAATCTGTTCTCCTTCTCCAGTGGCCATTTCAACCTCCTAGAACATCTGTTCTCCTATAATACCTCCTTTAGATCACAAGGGGCCAAGCAGCCTGCTTCCCTGCCCCACAACTGTTCAAGATGCATAGTTTTTGGACTAGGTGAGAAGAAAGGAAACACGTGATCCATATGAAAAACAAAATCTCTGTACTCTGAGATAAGGCAATTTATTTTATCTGTAATATTCTGGTTGGAGAATGAAGTTGAAAGTGCTTTAAGGTCTCAAGCCTATTGGAAGACATGAATCCTGTATTTGATCTGACCACACTAGTCTAGTGTAAGGACCCTGGCTGAGCCTAAATTGACACTCAGAAATTTCCAGAAATTGTTTGTGGCATTGGTCTTTCAGTGGCAGCTCAAGTGTGTGCTTGCATTGAGAAAGTGGTCTTCAAAATGTTAAAAGAAGCTATCTTATCAATGATCATTTAATATATGTGTACACTTTTTAGTTTATCTCATTTTGAAATCTGAATATTACAGTGTCTGACATGTTCTCATGAAACTGTGATACATATGCAATTTAAAAATTACTCTCAGATTACTAAAATGTTCTTTACTAGACACCTCTGTGAATGGATTTTTAGAAAATAAAATAAAGGGCAAAAAGAAAGGTTTCATATGCTATTTGTCCCTGAGGGGCAGAGACAGAGACCAAGTGATGGGCAAAAGGATGGCAGAAGAGTGGAGGAACAGGACAAGGTGATACTTGTTTTCCACCTGGGCCCTAAGGACTAGGTTTCTCGAGAAAGTTCTTGGCATCTATTCACAAGGGGGATAGTGGTTTTCAAGACATCTGTGGACTTATAGTGCCTTAGAGGCAGGGATTTAGACCAGATAGAATAATTTGGAAATCGGAGCTGAAGGTTGGGTCTGAATAGAGGACTCGCTGGCTTTTGTTCTCCATGCACTGGAATCAAGTCTGAAAGTCTGAGTCAGGGCATTGGGGGTGGCGAGGGTGGCGGGGGAGAGGCTGCTGCAGGAAGAAGTTGAAGCCGCTCTTCTCACATGGGCCTTACTGAGATACAGGACAGAAGCAATGTTGTTTCGATGGCCAGGTGACAAAGTGTGGCACAGAATGCAGAGGAGAATTACTATACCTCACTCCCCCCATCCATGCCCCTAATCCCCACCCCACCAACCCTCCACCCCATGCCAATAACCCATCAGTGGCTTTAGCCAAAGCTGTCTAAAGGGAGGGCAGTGCCATTCAGGCTCCTTACGAATTTGCAGAATTCACTCCCCACCCTAGCTGGGGCCTCTGTGTTCCTCCAGCCAGAGGCATCCTCCAGCAGTGGGGAAAGCGAAGGGGCTGCCCTCACGTGGAAATGTGAACAGCTGACCTTCAGGAGGCAGTGTAGGAAGAAAAGAGCAATGGGATAGGACTGTCTCACAGTATGGGAAACTGTCGGAGTCTTCCACAAGTAAGTGGAGGAAACTTTCAAGGGGTTGAGATCCTATAACATATAGGTAGAGGCAGGAGTCAGTGACATCTGAGTTTTTATTGTTGATGGGACTTTATTTTTACCCATGGGCCAGTGAGGACTGGAGAAACTTGAAACACCATTTTACAGCAGACAAAATAGTCTGAAGTACTTGGACATATGATGGCTCAGCTCCACGTAGATGCTGAGTGGCTCTTGAAACTTTTCTAAATATAACCTTTGGGGTGGGTACAGGAACAGGGACTGAGCTCTGGAAGGGTATAAGTGGGCTTTGCTTGTTCCATTTATCTCCAGTGACGTTAGCTTTAAGGAGTGGAGGAGGCAAAAGCAAAGGGAAGAGAATGCCTAGGAGGAAAAACAAAGAAAAGAATGTTATTGTTCTCCACTATTGTGGCTATAAAAATATCAATTTTATTTTAAAGGCATTTTTCTTCCCATACACATTTTCCAGACACAAATTGTGATTCTGTACCATCAATTTCTTTTTCAGTAGAGAGCAAGGTCAACAGTGCTTTCCCAAACTAAAAGCAACCTGGGCTGAACATAGAGATCGAAAGTTCACTAGGGCCTGGACTGGCCCAGGTGTGAGCCAACAGGGCCGCAGATGAGGGGAAAGCTGGGTCTTCAGAGGCCCACTGCCTCTCAGCCTGGAATTTGAGTTTCCCAACGTATTACACCCTCTTTTTTATGAAGCAACAGCACTGGTGATTGATGCGTCTGCTGGCAGCCCACAGAGTCAGATTATCTATATTACCATGGGGCTACCAATTTGTCTGCCCATCTTTGTGGGGTTTTTTCTTTGTTTGTTTGTTTGTTTGTTTGTTTGTTTTGTTTTGTTTTCTGAGAATCATTTTCCTCTTCCTAGAATCAGACCCAGTGCTTAGGGTAATGAAGGAGCAGACTTGAGTCCGCAGAGGGGGTTTGGTCTCCATCCTTCTCTTTGCATCCCTGTTGGTATAGCCCTAGATTGAGTCATCTGGTATGTCAGTCACCTGTACTATTGTAGTAGAGAGCTCATCACTGCCTCATGACCCCTTCTATCCTGCCTCTAAACTGTTGCCAAGTTAACACTCTAAAATATGTTTCCAATCGTGTCATTCCTACTGTTTGTAAAAGATCTTAGACTAACCCAATTACATGGACTATTATTGAATAAATTGGCCCTGTTAGTTTCGAATTCACCATTACCCTGATTTTGTATCTTTGTAAACTTCATCACAATTTCAACCTATCTTACTTATTGCTTTCTTGCTTATTGCCTGTCTCCTATCTCCATTGGAATGAAGTTTTCATTCAATGAGGGTTCTTATCTGTCTGTCCCCAAAACACTGGCTGGCACATGTTAGAAAATACATATTGATTGAATGACTCAATTGAATGAATCAAATTCTGTTAGCCATAGTTCATTCTTTTTTCATAAATGAAGTTTATTTCCTTTTACAGTTACAAATGTATTACGTGCTCACTGTAGAGAATCTGGAAAGTACAGAGAAGTAGAAAGAAGGAAATAAAAACACCCATAATTCCACCACCTGAAGGCAAACACTGCTCATATTATGTTCTATCTATGCCTGTTAAAAGACCAAGACCCTTATCAAGAGTGCTGGCCATGAAGCACAATAGCCAAGGGCAGTGAGAGCAACTAACAACTAAGGGGGTCACCCAGAGGTCAGAGCTAGAGATTTGACACTGAAGGACAAGACAAGAGCTACACACAACAGATTAAGAGGTCAGAAGGTGACAACACAAGAACAAGTTGGGTTATGGTAAGAATGTAGTGAGATGGTGCTTGTCAAAGATTTAGTGCAGTGCCTGTCACAGAGTACATAATCAACAAGTGTTATCCATTACTACGATTATTACTATGGGTCAAAACAAATGGTTCAGGATGGAGACTATAAACAGGGCAAGAACCTTGGAGACCCACTTTAGATGTTATGAGTTGGGGCATATAAGGGCAAGTCTACGGGTGAAAACGGTTGTATAAGAGTGGACATCACTCTCCTTATAGGCTCTCCTGCCAGGTAAAATGGGTACCAGAATATCCTGAAATTTGCCTGATGACACGTGGCAAGACACTCTAAAGTGTTTTGAGGTTGGATATGGTTTCTCCTGCCTAAACATCTTCCCGAACCAAGAACTAAAACGGACTTCAATGGTGATGGGAGTTCGGAACCTCATACACCAAACACTCTTGAATTCCACACTCTGGTTGTCTGGGCAGGTCACAGGCATATGGGGTGAAAGAAAAGGCCAATCAGCCAAGTGGAAGGTAGGGTGGGATGTGCCTGGAGGGGGAGGCTGAAGGGGAAGGCCACAAGGTTTATGATGTAATTGAATGGAATGGGTCCAGGAACCAGTCCTCAAGTTAGCAGCCGAGTCAAATATCACAGAAGAGTCCAGGAAACATTATTTGTTGGTGGGGGCCTTCCAATGGCCTGTGCTTTGTCGAAGGTGGTCGTGCAGACCTTCTTGGGGGTCTCCATGCTCTTTCAGGTAGTAACAGCGTTTGGGAGCATGCTGGTGCTGGGAGTCAGAAAAACAGAAAAAAACAGCAGAGGTAAGAGCCACACTTACTATGACAAAGCGTGTTCTGCCTGGAAAATTTCAGTAACTTGAAAGATCAAGGAACTCAAGGAACTTGGCTAATGTACCTTACTTGTATAAAGTATGACCGAGGAGTAGAGTAGCTAAATTCCTTAGTGACCTGGGTCCATAACACATGTGGCTGTAGGGGAAACCCAGACCCCCAAAAGATGACCCCTCCCTTAGAACTGGGCTTGGAATAAGTGGAGAGTTGGGACTGAGCCCAGCCAGCTCTCCCTAATCAGAAGATTTAGTCCTTTAACCACCCTAGGCCTTCAATATCTTGGGCAGGGCATTGTTCCTCAAAGTGGATAATACTCCCCAAGTAACTGCAATAGCCAGGCCTTCTGATGAAACACCATGTTGGAAGTTATGGTCTAGCAGCTCAATACCTCCCCATTGCCTCTTCCTTATACTACTCAAAGGAGCGGGATGTATTCTCATCATTTTTCTGCTCAAAAACCTTGAGTGTATTTCTCCATTATTACCTCCTCAGTCTGATGAGAGTTCTGTTCATTCTCCATTGCCTCCTCATTATTCCGCTTACAGGCTGACGGCAGAACCTGGCTGGAGCTGCCCAGGGAATCCTTCTCTTCAGCCAGCTGGCACTCGGTGTAGAGAGACCTGTCTATCAGCTCCTTTAGGCTGCCGGCCACCTTCAGGAAGATCCTGCCCATTTTTGTGGTAACAGCTTCCGAGAGTCCTTCCAGAAACCTGGTCCGTAGAATGGCATCAGACCAAGACAAATGTCGAGCCAGCAGCAGGAAGTCAGTGGCATACTGCCTGACTGACTTCTGGCCCTGCTTGGGATGGCAAAGAACAGCACTGAGGATGTCTATGTCAGAGAGAGAGTCATATAAGCCCTGTGATCGTCTCAGGAAAGACTTGTTTTCATCTGAGAGGGGTTTTCCTACCTCCATCTGCAAGATGGACCACCTTTCTGCTGCCCCCAGATGAAGAGACACCAGAAACGCCATTTTCTCTGAATCATCCAAAAATCCTTTCATTTGCTTCTCCTCATCAATCTCCATCTCTTCCTCCTCAGAGCATGAACCCCGGGCTGCTTCTTGCTCTTCTAAGAGGTAACAGAGTGCTGGGGTCAGCATGCCAAAGGATGGAACTTCCTTTGGTGGTGGGTTCATTGTTTCAGGGGTTATGGCAGTCACGTGTGGTGTGGACTTTGATCCAGAGGCCGTGATGTTGATGTGAGAGGCAGATGTTTCTCCAGAATCTGTTGCTTTGATGTCCAGACTGGACATCATTCCAGAGGCTGCGGCTGCCATTTGTGGTGTGGACATGGCTCCCAGGTCTTGGGTCCTCATTAGTGGTGTGGACATCTCTCCAAAGGCTGTGGCTCTCATAGGTGGTGTGGACATTGCTCCAGAAGCTGAGGCTCTCATTGGTGATGCAAGTATCCCTCTGGAAGTTGAATATGTTTTTTGTGGCAAGGGCATAGATCCAGAACTTGCGACTCTTGTTTGCAGTGCTGACATTGCCCCAGAGGCCATGCTATTCATTAGTGGCATAGACATCTCTCCAGAAGCCATTGCTGACATCAATGGCATGGGGATTGTTCCAGAGTCTGTGGCTTTCCTAAATGTTTTGGACATCCCTCTAGAGGCCACAGCTGTAATTTGTCCGGTAGACATCTTTCCAGAGGCTGGAGCTCTCATTAACTTTGTGGACACATCTTCAGAGGCTGAGGGTCTCCTTAGTGGTGTGGAAATAATTCCAGAGTCTGGAGCCCTTAATAATGGTGGGGACATCGCTCCAGAAGTTGGAGCTTGCATCGACAGTGGGCACATCTCTCCAGAAGCCATGGGAATCATTTGTGGTGTGGATGCTGCTCCAGTGGTTGGGGTTCTCATCAGTGGTATGGACACCCCTCCAGAGGCCGTGGCTGTCATTTGAGACATGCACATCACTCCAGAGGCTGTGGATCTCATGAGCGGTGTGAACATGGTTCCAGAGACTGGAGCCCTCATTTGTGGCATGGAAACCCCTCCAGAAGCTGTGGTTGTCATTTGTGGAGTAGACCTCACTCCACAAGCTGGGGTTTTCAGAGGTGTGACTATCTCTCCAGAAGCTGGGGGTCTCATTAGTGGTGGGGACATTTCTCCAGAGGATGAAGCTCTTATGAGCAGTGAGGACATCTCTCCAAGTTCTGGGGGTCTCATCTCTCCAGGGTCTGAGGCTCTCATTAGTGATGTGGACAATACCCCCGAGGCTGGGGCTCTCATTCTTGGTGTGGACACCATTTCAGCATCTGAGGCTTGCATCTGCAGTGGGGCCATCCCTCCAGAGGTGATAGATCTCATGAGTGACCTGGACATCCCTCCAGTGTCTTGGGTGCTCATTGGCTGCCGGGCCATCTTTCCAGGGGCTGTGGCTTTCATTAGTACTGTGGACATTGCTCCAGTGCCTGGAGCTCTCCTTAGAGGCACGGACACATTTGCAAAGGCTGAGGTTGTCTTGTGTGGTGTGGACATCCCTGCAGAGGGGGTGTCTGTCATCTGAGGCATGGACATGGCTCCAGAAGCTGTGTCTCTCATTAGCATTGTGGCTATCTCTCCAGAAGCAGCAGTCATCACTTGCTGCATACACATTGCTTCTGAGGATGTGGATGCTGTTGGTGGCTTGGACAATGCTCCTGAGGCCATAGCTCTCATTTGTGGCGTGGACATCACTCCTGAGACTGTGTCTCTCGTGAACAGTGCAGACATTGCTCCAGAGGCTTTGGCTGTCATCAGTGGGGTGGACATTGCTCCAGAGGCTGGGGTTCTCGTTTGTGGTACAGCTGTCACTGCTGAGGCTGTAGCTCTCCTTTGTGGCATGGACATTGCTCCAGAGACAGGAGCTCTTATTTGTAGTGTGGATATTAACCCAGAGGTTGGGGCTGTCCGTTGTAGCATGGGAATTGTTTCAGCGGCTGGGGCAGTAACTGGCTGTGTGGCTAGAGCTCCAGAATCTGGAGCTCTCCTTTGCAGCATAGACATAATTCCAGAAGCTGGGGCTCTTACTTGTGGTGTGGACATTGCCCCATTGGTGGTGGCTTTCAAAAATCCTGTGGATCTTCCTTCAGAACTTCTGGCCGTTGTTACCTGTGTGGACACCACTGTAGAGGCTGCAGTTGACATTCGCTCCATGGATGTTGTTCCAGAGGTGGTGACCGTCATCAGTTCGGTGGACATTGCTCCAGGGTCTGAGGCTCTCGCTGGCAGTGTGGCCATCCCCCCAGAGGCTGTTGCTCTCATCTGTGGAGTAGGCATGCTTTCAGCACCTAGATGTTGTGTTAACTGTGGGTGCATCGCTCCAGATGTTAGGGCTGTCATTAGCAGTGGGGACAGTGCTTCAGCATCTTGGGCTGGCTTTGGCAATGTGGACAGTTCACCAGCATCTGGACTTGACAGGAGTGGTGTGGACATTGCTCCAGAGCCGGGAGTTGACATTAGCTCTGAAGACACTACTTCAGAGTCTGGGCCTAACATCAGTTGGTTCGACATTTCCCCAGAGTCTTGGGTGCTGGTTGGATGGGTTGACGTTGCTCCAGAAGCTAGGGATGACATTATTAGTGAGGATATAGATTCAACATCTGTGCCTGACATTATTAGTGAAGATATCTCTCCAGAGGCCAGGGCAGTCATTAGCACTTTGGACATTGCTTCAGTGTCTTCATCTGTAATTTGCAATGGTGACATTGCTTCAGAGCCTGGAGCTGACATTGGCTGTGTGGACATCACCCCAGGGTTTATATCTGGCATTAAGGGTGGGGACACCTCTCCAGGGTCTGGAGCACGCATCAATGGTGTAGCCATCATTCCAGAAGGTGGAATTGGCATTGCCAATGGTGATATCTCTGCAGAATCTGGTGCTGCCATTAGTGTTGTGGACATTGTTCCAAAGTCAGGAATTGTCATCAGCCCTGGGGACATAAGTCCATAGTCTGAAGTGGACAGCAACGGGGACAGTGGTCCAGAATCTGAGACTGGCATTAGCAATGGGGACAGTGCCGCAGAATCTGAGGTTGGCATTAGCAATGGGGACAGTGCCTCCGAATCTGAAGCTGGTGTTAGCAATGGAGACAGTTCCTCAGAGTCTGAGTCTGGCAATAGTGGTGGGCACAATTCTCCAGAGTCTGGTACTCCCATTAGAGGTGTGGACATGGGGTCAAAGTCTGGGTATGTCATCAGCTGTGTGGACATCCCTCTAGGGTCTGACACTGAAGTTGAGACTACAGGCTGTACATGGGAATGCAGAATTTGTACCTCTTCTGTGGTCTCTATCATTGGTCCAGAGAAGGTCATCCCCTTGTTTGGGTTGTCATTTTCCTCCCTCAGCATATTGTTGAATCGCAATGAATGCAAAGATATTGACATATCTGCCATGGCCACAGGATAGTGTGGAGGGAGCCCCTAGCGTGATGATATCAGGGATCCTGCTGAAGCCCAACTGGCAAGAAAATCTATAAACAAGAGACACATTTATCAGTCAAAGGTCAATATCAAAAAGATTGGGAAACAGACAAATAATTCATGATGGAGACCTTTTGTCTGACTTTTTGTCTTGCCATCTATGTGGCATCAGAAATGGGCCTATCAGGTTAAAGAAGCTGTGCAACAATGAACAAATGTAAAGCAAATATCCCTTCCGCCCCTATTCTTTCCAAACCAAACCACTCAGTCATACAGCACAGCCTATCACTTTGTAAATACTAATAATGCCAGCAACCTCAGCTGCCAGGAGCCTGGGCAGTTCTGGATCAAATGAAGCAGCACCACCACCTTCTGGAAAACTGTGAGAAGTACAGGTTCCTGGGCTATGTTCTATCCTATAAGAGCACTCACAAGCCAGCCAAGGTACTGGCAGGCCCAGATGAGAAAGCCCTTTGCTCCAGAAAAATCATTAGCTCCTGGGGTTCATTGAGTCCTGCCAGTGGTTTCATCTCCATTTTACTGCTCTGATGGCCCTGAATGTCTTCCTCAGAAAAAGATCAACGGGAACAACATTCCATGAACTGAAAAGCCTGCTTATCATCATTATTATTCTTAATAATAAAAATAACAACTACTGCTACTACCGCTTATTACTCAGTGTGTTCCAGGCACTAAACTTAAGGCAACTATATGCAACTTTAAATTGCCTATAATGCACAAGAGTTTGCAAGCATTATCCCATTTGAAACTTACACTACCCTGTGCAATAGATAGTATTATTATTCCCATTTTATCAGCTTTCTCAGATCAGCCACTGTGGGAGCAAAAATAGGGTCACCACAACAGTAAAATTTGTATGTCTTTGACTATCACACCTCCTTGAATTTGCCTAGCTTTTGGCATCCCTAAGGCTGCATTCAATTATCTCTCTGACATCCTAGACCATGGAAGCCCAGTCTATAGCATGTAAAAATTTCAAGTTTCTCTGATGACATGTGGTGGGCAATCCCAGAGCCTCACCCCTCTGGCCCATCCCTGTAAGCAGCCCCAGAAGGGGCTCCTTGGCACATAGCTTGGAAACCAACACACACATTACACAATGTTGACACATCCCCCCAGCCTGCCCATGACAAAAATGGAACACTTGCTCATTTGCGACAATGTCACAAAAGTCCTCACTCTTGTGGCATTGTGCCTTCATAAAAGTAATGAGAATGAATACTAGCAACAGAAATTCTAACAGCGAGCATTTCCTGAGCGTGCACTGACTGGCAAGCACTCTGCTAGGCACTTGACATGCATCATCTCATTTGGTTCCCACAGCAACACTAAGAGATTGGATAGTACTCTACCTTTATCTTACGAATGAGAAAACTAAGGCCCAGAGAAGCTTACTCATTTGCCTGCAGTCACATAAATGTCCGGGTCCACCCAACTCCAGAGCTCCTTACTCTACTCCACTGGGCTATAAAGACCCACCTGATCTGCTTTCTCTCCCTTACTCAGTCACATTACCAAAACCAGCACTACCACCCCCATCTCCAACCTGGACAACCCCAAGATGGAGTGTAGTAAAATAAGTACTGGCCTCCTGCTGGCACCTTAGTTACTTTACTCTACTAATTGGTGCAACGGGAAAGATGAGTCAAAAGAGCAGTCACAGACGTCCACCTCCCATCTTCAGAAAAATCCCTGGACATGCAACAATTTTGCATCAGGCAAAACCCAAAAGATCTTACCTTGACAGTTAGGGAGAAGAGGGTGTGTGTTCTTTGCACCCCTAGCTTTTTTAGTCTGTCCAATTTACTTATGCCCCATGCCTAGCCAGTTCATTAAAGTAGGACCCAATACCAGCAGCTGTTCTCGGCAATCTCCCTTAGCTATCCCCTGCCACGCCCCCCTCCTGCCCGCCAGCCAGCCAGCCAGCCTGCCCGCCCACCCGCCCCACTGCTCCTAACTTGCTAGTGCTTGCTCTGTCTCTTTGGTCCCAGATTCCTGCCTCTATATAGGCTCTGACATTTGCCTCTGGCCGCCTTTCACTTGACAGCCCTCCAGAAGCTCTGCTTTAGCTCTTGACCTATGCAACTCCACCCTATTTCTCCTCACCCCCAATAGTTGCACTAGCCCACTATGTCTGCCTCTGGCTGTCCCAAAGAAAAAAGGAGATTCACACAATTAAAAAGTTGAGACTGAAAGGGTCCTGGCTCAGAAAATGGACATATCTTCTGTGGTTGAGCAGACATGAGAGTCCTGGGCACCAAGCACTGCAACTGGTGTGACATGGAAGTGCAGGCAGGGGTCAGAGGTAAGAGAGATGGGACTGGAGGTGAATGGAATAGTGTTAGCGAGTTCAAAGAGCTCAAGTGCAGGGAAACCAGGGTTTGGGAAGATGGGCCATGGGGGCTTCAAAGAGACCTGTGATAGTGATAATAAAAAAGCTGATTTTGGGGCCGGCCAAGTAGCTCGTTGGTTAAAAGTTGGCGTGGGAGCACGAGCTCTGAGCAGCAGGACCGCCGGTTCAGATCCCACATGGGCCAGTGACACTGTGCCCCCTACAGCTAAGATGGTGAACAGCAGCTCGACCTGGAGCTGGGCTGCCGGGAGTCACCAGTGACAACGGTGTAGGCTGCAGTGGGCTGCCATAAGCTACCGTGAGTGGCCAGCAGGCAGTTTGAGTGACCGGCAGCTGCCATGAGCTGACATGAGCTGCTGTCAGCGGCCATCTAATGACCAGCGACAGACTGCCTCAGCCGGGAAGAGCACAATGATCACAATACCAACACGGGCCAGTTATCGACGTCCTCCACAACTAGACTGAAGAACAAAAGGACAGCAACTTGTCTGTTCCCCTTCCCTGATTCGCCAGTGCTGTTCCCTCCCCTAATTCCCCAATAAAATATGTTTTTTAAAAAAAGCCGACTTACCCCAGTGTCAGAGACCTGGAGGGAAATCTGTCAACCAGTGTCCCTGCCACAGGGCTAGGATTTGACAGCGAGGCTCCAGGCCATTCAGACAGCTGACAAGAAAAGCACACGAGTCTTGAGCATACCAGGTGAGGGCTTGCTCATAAACACAGGGCTACAGCCTGTTTTCTAGAACTGGGGCACAAGATCAGAGTAGAACTAGCAAAAAGGTTTAACGGAACTCTCTAACCTTCTGAATCAGTACCCCTGAAGCCCCCAGACTAGGGGCAGAATTGGTCCCTGAGCCTTGGACAGGGCAAAGCCTTCAGGAGAAGTTCAAGTAGCTGAGGCATAGGGAATCAGAGTCTGGAGGTTGAGGGGAGGCATTCCAGTCGTTATAAACCTTCACACAGTCACAATTGGCAACGAATAATGCTTGAACACAGGCTAAGCACTGTTTGCATTATGTCCTTTGGGCCTCATGGCGACACCTGAAAGGTAGGCATTGGAGCCATTTTCATTTTACAAATGGGGAAACAGGTTTGGAGAAGTTGTGACCAAGGTCCCGGAGCTAGGAAATGGCAAAGCCCAGATTTGAGCGTGGGTCCATTTAATTCCAAAATCATTTCTTCTCTTTGTAATCAGACAAGTGGTTAGAAGCATTTCAAGTGCCCTACTCACTGCTACATTCCTCCTCTCACCTCCACCAATGGCTGAATCATTGTAGTAATAATAGTAATAGTAACGGTAATAGTAATAATAATAGTAATAGTAATATCAACTAACTTTGACTGAACTCTTCCCATATGCCGAAGACTGTGCTGAGGGCATTACAAGCAGCCTCTCATTTGATCCTAACAGCTATCCTGTGAGCCAGGTCCTTTTAACTTCCATTTTACAGATAAGAATACTGAGTCTCAGTGAGGTGAATTGACATGCCCCAAAGTACACAGCTCTGTTTGACTCCAGAGCTCATTATATATAGTATACTATTCAAAAAAATAATTCCAATTGCTCTCCCTTCTCCCGTAAACCAAAAAGTGGTCACAGGAAACCCAACAATTATTATTGTTATACCTAAAAATAAAAGCTAACATTTACTGTGTCAGGCACTGTGCTAAGCACTTTACATACATAATCTCGTTTGTTACTCACAACAATCCTATGAGGTAGGTACTATTATCACCTTCATTTCCAGATGAGGAAAGGCACAGAGAGGTCAACTAGCTTCCCCAAGGTTGCACAGCTAGAAAGCATTGTTGTCTATGATAATAAAAAATTGGAAATAACCTAAATGCTGATGTTAGAACACAATTCATTTAATGAATGAATCATAGTGTGTTTGTAGCAGCCATTGAATGTGATAATCTGATTTCTATAAAACAAATACCTATATTTTTGCCTAGAAAAAGTGCAGTCTGGAAAGATATATCAAAATGTTAGCAGTGACCATACCTAACTGTTGGGATTAAAGAAGATTTTTGTTTTTGTTTTCTTATCAGTATGTTCTCATTTGCATATAATGGGCCCATATCAGTTGCATTCAAAGGAAAACAAATGTTATTTTTCTTTTTTGAAAAGGTGTGTGTCCCTCAGGTTCTGTGTCTAGCCCTCTCCCCGCCTCTTCCTGCATGCTCTCTCTAAGGGTCTCCAACATTTCCCCATTCAAGCGATCTTTCTTCCCCAACAAACTTAATGCTTGCACTACTCAGATCCTTGGTCAGTAGTGACCTCTGACAAATGTCTGCAAATGGCTTGCTTTAATTTTGTTGTTTTTTTCTGTTTTGAAAAATGATCTTTTTTTCTGACCTTTATTTATGTTTAATAGTTACACAAGCCATCTAGGAATATATTCTCAGAATAAAAACTGGAAATCCTATATACAGTTAAAGCTAGTCCTGAGCCTGCCCTGCCCCCCATCCCCTCAAGTCCCATTCCTCTGTCTGTTCACAGTTGGGTGTGTCTCCTTTCAAACTTTTTCTAGCTTTAATGGCATTCAGAGTTCATATCATGCAATTGCTTGCAAAACCTAGTATGTGCAAAGAGCTCAAGTTAGAAAACCATTGTGGCACTGGTCAATCCAGGATTACAAGCTCTGGTCCATTGTGACCATTCATCATCAGCCTGCTTCTAAGGAAGCTACTGAGAAAATTGAATGCTCAGCCCATTTGGGTCACAGACTTCTGTTTTATTAATGCCAGTGTCTCCACAAACACAGAGAGGGGCGGCCTTCTAGGGAAGGAAAAGCCCAGAAGTCACTGCTTAGCATCTCTCAGGTCCCTCACGTCCTGCCCAGTCTGTACAGATCAATATGGCTCAGAGGTGTCACACTTCCTGCTGCCTCACAAAAGGTAATTGAGTTTGGGGGATTGCTTGGCTAGCTGCTCAGGGAAATAAGAATAAACAAGAGACAGTTCAATATGTCAACAAGTAGCTTTCCAGCTCTTGAAAATAAACCTTCCCCTAGATTCTCAACACTATCCTCTCCCACAGCCCTAGCAAACAGATACCCAGATAACTGAACACAGACAACCTCAGGATAAAGAAATACCTGGTCTACTTTAAGGTCCTGATCAATCAGGAAAGGAGAAACTCTCCTCATCCCCTTGCTCCCCAGCAGCATGGACACTTAAAATGCCCACCCAGCTCTTCTAATAGAGGAGAAAAGAGCTAGCACTTGCTTGGGTACTCACTCTGCCATGCACTGTATTAAGCACTTTACATAAATTACATTATTTATTACTTAATAAACCAATGAAGTGGGGGTTTTTTAAACCCCATTTTACTAATCAGCTAAAGAAGCGAAGTTGGGAGAAAATAAAATAAAATAACTTACCTTGGCTCTCCCAGCTGTGAGGGAGTGGAGCTGGGCTTGTCACTCTGGTCGGTCTGACTCAGCTTGTGCTCTTAACTCAAGGGAGAGTCACACACTGTCTTCAAGTCTCTGAAGGGCTGTCATATGGAACAGAGGGTAGGTGTGTTCTGGGTAGCTCCAAAGAGAAGGATTTGACTGTTAGTTGGGAATTACACTTTCATTGGATGTGCTGCAAATTCCCCAAACAACATGTATATGCATGTCTGACCCTATAGGGAAAAGATCACTATAAGAAGAGCAAACGGAACTGTCTTGCTTTAGGTGCCGTCCTGAAGGATCTGTGGAATCGGAGAGAACAGGGGTGATACAGAAGCACTGCAAATGGGCAGCATCCCAATTTTCTTAAATAAGGAAACCACAGACCAGTATACTGTAAACTCCAGAGCTGTGAGCTTGATGTCAATCCTCCGAGAGATTCTGCCACAGACTACGAAGCAGGTAATTTATAAGCACTTAGGACATAAGTGGTGATAGGAGGTACCTAGAAGTACTAGCAGAACTGTACAAATTAGACCAGGTGCCCAGACTGGCAGTTATTGCAAACCGAAAAATGAGAGGACTGACAGTGGGTTGCTAAATTTTTATTTTTCCTAGTAAACACATTAAGAAACATGACAAAACAACCCCAATTTCCCATTTTATAAAAAGGGCTTTCTTTAAACACGAAAAGGGTAGGAAATAATCTCCAAACAAAGGACGGTCCTTTAAATGAAATAGATTTCACTTTACAAAACACTGAATATGTAGTCCTTAGGCTTTCTCATTGCACCGTTGACTGCTGCAGCTTTCCTGTAGAATGAACACTTGTCCAAAGAGTCACTTTAGAGAATCACTCCCATTCAAAATATCGACACACAAAGGATGACAAGAAATGTTTCGGGCCAGAAAAGGGAAGAACAAAGTTTGACCTTATGCTAAGCGAGGGCCTTAATATAGATAAAGGAAGTGTCCATGGGAAGGAGTATGAGAAAAATCAAACTTCCAAGTATGGCGTCAAGCACTACTGAGGCCGGACTTGGCCAATGCATTTGATCTGTGCCACCCCTCTGACCACACAGCACTCTTGTAGGAATACATGCCTGATGTCATTAAGCATTTGGACCACAAGCCAGGTTCTGACTTGGGGCTCTCCAAGCAATCTCCAGACTATTCCCTATCTTCCCATAGAGCAGCGGTTCTCAACCTTCTTAATGCCACAACCCCTTAATACAGTTCCTCATGTTGTGGTGACCCCCAGCCATACAATTATTTTCGCTCCTACTCTAGAACTGTAATTTTGCTACTGTTATGAATCATAATGTAAGTATCTTTTTGTTTTCTGATGGTCTTAGGCGACCCCTGTGAAAGGGTCGTTCGACCCCCAAAGGGGTCACGACCCACAGGTTGAGAACCGCTGCCATAGAGAATTCTTGAAGGCAGATGAATTTGCAACTGTTTCAATACCGTCACCAGCATGGAGTTCTACAACCACCTAGAAGGTGCTGCTAGACTTGATCCTGTCCTGTTCAACACTTTTATCAATGGCATAAATAAGGGAACAGAAGGGATTCTTACAATTTTTCTAGGACCGAAAAGAACCTCTACCATCAGCCTAAGAAGTGGGTTTACACTTGAAAATGCCATGGTTTACAACCTATCTCTCCGCATTTGGTCATTTTCTTTCCTGTTCTTTGTTGCCAATGCACTAAGTTCCTGCAATTTGTGCTGCTCGTGGAAAACGTCTAGTGAACATATACTAGCTATGAGCTCTGTACCCTGAAGAGCAGTAGGGTCTTCTACACAAAATGCTGAGCATTCATCTCAATCCTGTCATCTTCCCTCAGTCAGCTAGTGTCAGTGTTTACTTCCTGGATCAGAAAAGAGGAAAAACTAATGTCCTCTTATTTCAGAACTGGCCCCATTTCCAAAAGAGTTTATATTAGAGTTCGACCACATCAGTTGACATTGACCTGGTTTCTGAAGGTGAAGGCAATGCAGTATACAGTACCTACCATACTCTCTCAAACCGCATTTCTCTAAGTATGTTTGGGGAACCTCTGCTTCAGCTGCCCCCTGAGAGGACTGTTAAAATGCAATGCAGACTTGGGGAGGGGAGCTTCATTTTAAAGAGTCTGACTCAGTAGGTCTGGGGTGAGGCCAAGGAATCCCAATTTTGGCCCAAGCAATTCTGAAACACTCTAGAGTTTAACAAACCACTGGCTTCGGAGTTTGTACGTCCTTATTTAAACATCAAACAAGCCTGGGCTCCAAACCCACCCAGCACTTCAACTTACTTCCCTTCATTTTCCCTGTCTGAAAAACAGGGATAATAAACAGTACCTACCTCACAGGCTCTGTGAATGTTTTAAACAAAAACATGTGTAAAGTGTCTGGCACCTAGTAAGCTCAGTAATCTCGCCTGGTCTTGCTTATTTGTGGACTCTGCTGCCTGACTCCTCTGTGTTCAGCTGCTATCCCTGTTGCCAACTGCTCACTCTTTCTAGGTCTAGTGCTCCAACTCCCCAAGTGAGAGACTCTCACTGGTCCAAATTTAGTCAAGACTGTGCTTCTACTCAAAGTTCTCAAAGTTCTCATCCTGGGTTCCCTCATACGCTGCTTGCCACATCGAAGGACTGCTCTTAGATCAGACGCCCTCTCCTGGCTCAATCTGTTATTGCCAGGGGGAAGTGGAGTCACGTGGTACCAGACACAGCCACCTATTCATAAGAAACTGCTACTTCCCTCAGCTATGGTCTGTGGATGGAAACTCCTTAGAGGGGCCCGTGGGTGTGGCAAGAATTCTGAGGCTTAGCCCATCCAGTACACCTAGGCTTCTCATTTACCCAGCCAGCCAAAGAAATGAAGTGTTCAAGTTCACTGACGTCTCTATTTAAATTCTGACTTTTCATCTCCAGGAACACCAGTTTACAAAAAACTAGACTACAATCAAGAAAAAAATCTTAACCCTAAAAGGAGACTGTCTGTTTCTAGAACACGTTTTCAACTTTTCAAAATATGTTTGCATCAATTTCCTCAATGTAGGGCTTGCAAACTGGCAGTCACAGACGGGATCCAGACTGCAGATGAATTCTATTTGACCCACACAATGTTTGCAACATTTTTAAATTAGTTGCCAACATTCAAAAGTCAGGAGATTTCACATAAAAAGCTGAATTTCTGGCTTCTCTGAGGGGAAAAAACAGAAAGACTTAGATACTCATTCTGACATGGCAACATTCAGCTGGAGCTGTGTAAGCTGTTCCCTGTAGATGGGGCATTGTCTCACCAGTTACTTTTTCACAGTGACTTGCTTGGCCTCGGCAGGCATTTGAAGGCTCATTTTAATCACATGCAGTAGGTACAGAAGGTGGTTAAGAACATAGATTCTGAAGCTGAACTGTCTGGGTCAGAGTGCCAGCTCTGCCCCTTACTGGCTTTGGGACCCTGAGCAAGTGACTTAACTTTCCTGAGCTTCAGTTTTCTCATCTGTAAAATAAGGATGATAATAATAATGCCTACTGCATAAGGTTATTGGTCCAACTAAATAAGATAATGCAGGGCCGGCCGAGGGGCTCAGTTGGTTAACAGCTTGCTCAAGAGTGTGAGCTCTGAGCAACAGGGTCGCCGGTTCGATTCCCGGCCCGAGCTGAGCTGCCAACAGGTGGTAGGATGGTTCAGCTAAAAAAAAAAGATAATGCATAGAAACTATTTAGAACAATACTTGGCACATGGCAAGCACTAAATAAGTACAGTTGACCCTTGAACAACTCGGGTTTGAACTGTGCAGGTCCACTTATAGTGAGGATTTTTTTTTCATAAATACTGTAAATGTATTTTCTCTTCCTTATGCTTTTTAAAATAACATTTTCTTTTCTCTATCTTACTTCATTGTAAGACTACAATACATAATACATATAACACATAAAATATGTGTTAATTGACTATGTTTTCAGTAAGGCTTCCAGTCAACAGTAAGCTATTATTAGTTAAGTTTTCAAGTTATACACAGATTTTCAACTGTGTGAGGTGGTCAGCACCCCTAACCCCTGCATTGTTCAAGGGTCAGCTGTATTAGCTTCATTGTCCACAAGTCCCTATCTGCCTTTCTGACCGCCAAACGTTTCTGAAAACTGAAATTTTGTGGAAAGCTCACTCAGTGGCAAAATTGGGCCTCAATTGGCATGAGGCTATTCATTTACTGCATTTAGAAATATTAATGTGTTTGATCACAGGATACTGCCCCAAATCCCATAAGGAGTGTTATATATGTTATATGTACTATACTGATTTGCTATAATACAAAAGTTCTGAATTCCAAAACATATCTAACTCCAGTGGTTTCAGGTAAGAGATTGTAGATCTGTATTATTAGTAGTATGCATACCCACTTAACAGATGGGAAAACTGAGCTCCGGAGCACTAAGCAACTGACCAAAATCTCACAGCTTGGAAGCAGAAGAAATATCGACTCTTAGGCATGAAGTCCACAGTGCTTAGTGCTGTGGTATGCATCAGGCTTGCTATAGGCATATTGATGCAGGGTTCTAGTGGCTACCAGTCAGGGTTTCCTGACGGATGCCACCATTTACTGAGAGTGACAAACCCTTCCCTTAGTAACAGCCTGGTGATTATTTGCATTAATCTTCACTATATACCCTTGGGTTAGTATTAGGTTAGGGACTATTGTCTTCATTTTACAGAGGAAGAAACTGAGGTCCAGAGAAGAGATGTGACTTTCCCAAAATCACACAGTGAAAGATAGGCAGAGCTGGAACTAGAAACCAAATTCTGTGTGTTTTCTTCTTAAACCCCAAAGCCGGTCCAAGAAAGACATATGCTGAACTTTCCACACACGGACAGACCCCCACTCTCTGTACACGATCCTAAGATTTTCAAACATACCTAATGGAAGGAGAGTGTCTTAAGATCTCAGCAAATACAAAAATGAGACAGTGTGTCTCAGTGGACCTGATCCTTATGCCAGTACCATAGGCAGCAATGTACAGACACCATCCAGTCAGAAGCCAGGGAGGGGAGATTTCTCAAATCCCAAGAAAATCATAGAGACCCTACTGTTGGCTTTTCTCTGTTGATTTTAAAGAAGCTGACATTTACTTATG